CATTAATCCAATCCACGAATCTCTCGGCTTGTAACGTACCAGAAAACTCAGGGAGATCGACCCGAAAACCGAGGTCTCCATGACGCTCTTCCCGACCACGGTGTTCCCAGAATAGAGCACGATTGTGATATGGGTTTTTGAAAGCGGAATTGGTATCGTGATCAGAGGCCTCACGATCCTCGAAATCCTGCGCCGCCAGGCGCTGGGTTAATTCTACGACTTGCCTCTGTAAATCTGCAATCATCACATCCTGAACGTTGCGATCACGGCGTTGGGCTTCCTCATTCGGAACCTGCTCACGACGACCACGACCTCCAGCCATTGAAACTGGTGAAATTTCCCAGGAAGATGTTGAAGCTCTGACACCAACTGACGCCAGACAGAATAATGATTATCCTGCAAGCGCTCCAACAGATGATTTACAAGAGAAAATTCGCCCAAAAAAATCCAAAGAAAAAAAGTCTCTAGGGTTTAATAAAATATTATCAAATCAAACAATCCAAAATCAGTCCACAAGCCGGATTGTTATAGCCAAAAATTGTCTTTATTCGAATTTTGCCAAAAATATCAAAATCTCGAAAATCACTCTAAATTGAAATTCGAAATAAAATAAGCAATCTCCAAAAAATCCGGCCTAAATCAGATTTAAATTGACTTCCTAATTGACAATCGAAATATTACCATAAATAGTAAAAAATATCTAATTCTAGTGATTCAGAGGGGAAAATGGCAGAATTTGAGGTTGAAAAAAGGCCACATAGAGCATAGCTCATGTGGAGAGCGTGCGTGTCGAAAAGAGCTTTCTGGATTGGGGTCTTATGCGCGATTCTGACACCTGTAGCCAAAGTTATGGCCAAAAGACTGAAACATACTCAAAACGACCCCAATGAGTAACATGTCACAATCAATTCCCGCCTTTGCGCTGATCTGCCAATTCATGGTATCTCAGCGCCATCAATGTGCAATCTGACAGCTCAACATCATTTGTCTCGGATCCCCCTGCATCAAAACTCCAGCTCCCATGCTTGCTGCATACCAAGAAAGATTCCTTGTAACTATGCTTCCATAATCGAACATATCCCAATGAATTTTGAAAACCCAACCTGCAAGTTGCATGTATCGTCATAGTCTCTGGTGCTTGAACTCGTGACATCAATTCATTTAATCACTGAAGTAAGTTTACTCGTGCAAAAAGAATATATTTTTAAAACAGAAAAAAGGGGAAATAATCATATTCGACTTTGCTATCACCTCTCTTATGGACAACATCGAATACATCTCATTCAGTTGTGCATACAATTATTGACCATGGATGTTACTCCCAATTGTTCTCATGATATTTAAATTATTATATCAGTCTAATTATAATTTATAATGATTATTTTTAGTAATAATGAATTATATTTATTATTTATAAAAGTTTTAGAAATCAAATGGACTCGTAAAAAATAAAAAAATAAAAGGTTTAGATAGATTATCATATTTTTGGTTGGCTATAAATTATTGATTTAAAATATAAATAATCAATTATATTAGGAAAAAAGGCATAAGATGTCCCTGTACTTTTGCAAAAAAAATTAATGTGATCATCGTATTATTTTTCTCTCAATTTAACCGTTCAACTCAGAAAAATTCAATGAGGCTCTTCAACCAACGTTTTTCTATCGTTGACCATTACGGTGCTGGTGTGACATTTCACAGTGTTGACATGATGTTCCACAGTGTTCATGTAGCAGTCCATCTGTTATGTTTGAGTTACCAATTTAATCTATCTATCATATCATCCATTGTGTTATCAATCACCATGGAATGTCACGTTGTATCGTGGATCGCCACATCAATACAGTGAATTGCTACATCATCACTGTAACGATTAACGATGAAAAACGTTTGTCAAAATACCACATTAGGTTTATTTTCTGAGTTGGAGGGTCGCATTGAGAGAGAAAAATAATACGAGAGTCACATTGGTTTTTTAAGTACAGAGACCTCTTATGCATTTTTACCATTATATTATCTGAATGAGATATTTTTTAATGAGACAATATAAATTTTACTCCCTAAACTTAGCAATCCTTTTCAAACTGCTCTTTAAACATTTTTTGACGCGTCCGTTTGTGTAACTAACAACTGTCATATCAATTATCAAATCCGAATCAAAGACAGCTAAAACATTTCTGGCCAATTTGTTGAAATTTCGTCTCACGACAATTATAATAATAAATGGGAGCAAATAGACAAGTCTAATCACCACCCAACTCCCTTAATTATCCATCTTTATACATTTTCCTGCAAAATCTCCCAACTGGGGTTCATATTAGGTTAAAATTTAATTAATCGATTGAATCGAAATTTTGATTGATTAATCGGTCAGTTAATTTTGATTTCGGTCAATTAATGATTAATAGTTTTTTTTAAATTTAAATTTTGGTTAAGTCGGTTTAAAAGTGGTTAAGTAACTGAATTAACATAATTAGCCGAAATTATTAAATATTTAATATTATATATATTATTTAGCTTTAGGGGTGTTTAAATTTTAGTTTTAACCAAATTAACCGATCGAATTTACCGAATAAACCAAAAATATTTAATATATGATACATATTATTCATAAATTTCGATTAATTTAGTTAACCGACCAATTCACTGAATTTAGTTTGGTTCGGTTAACTTTTTTTGAAAAAAATTAATTTGATTAACGGTTAAAGTAAAAAAATCAATTAATGAAATTTAGATAATTTAATTCAATAACTGAAGTAACTATTTGAACACACATACTCCCAACTAATTACTTTCTCACCATAGTAATTTCTCGGATGGATTATTATATAATTATATTTGAATATTGGCGAAGTAAATTCAAATCGGGTAAATTAAAAGTTCATCACTTAACTTTCTTCTCTCTTATTTTAGTTATCAAAGTTTGAAAATTTTTAATTTACTCACTAGTTATAATTGAACATTTTTCTTTTGAATACTATGAAATGGTTTCAAAAGTTTTTTCTTAATGAAAAAAATCTATAATTTCAAACTCTCTTTGATTTTTCTCTTCTTCTGAATCTCAGTAGTGGGAAGATAAAGAAGGAAATGAGCTATATACCTTAATTCTATGTTGATCGGATGCAAACCTATCCATTAGCAAGTGTAGCTTGTGATACGTCATAGGACCTCAACATATGCAATTATTGTTTGTTATGTTATAAATTTATTTTGCCACTGTGCGCACGCGTGAAGAAAATTCAATGAAAAAAACTTAATTTTATATGTATTTTTTGTATTTTGCAAGAAACAATAGTAATATGATATTTTTTATGTTTTTATGTTTTGTCTTATTATAAAATATGTTACGGACCTCATTTTAAAAAGTAGCACAATATCTTCACATCTTTTGGGACGGACCTCATTAGATGGTGGATACTATAGATCAAAAAGTTTGAGTTTAATGAATTTTGGATTTATGGTTGAGTTTCATGAGTTTTAAAGAAATTTAGGTAAAATATAAATTGATGGAGTGGTGGTACGCTGAAGAATGTTAATCACAACATCGATGTAATACAATCAAGAGAGAGAGAGAGAGATAAAGATCAAGGGAAAATGATAATGTTGACACTTGAATTTCATATCAATAAAAAATATTCTACATCGGTACATGTGACTACCATGTCACCCATGTCATCCTTCTGTTTATGATTTAACACATGAATGATCAAAATAAGATAAAAAAAATTAATTTTTTTAAATTTTAGTGACAAATATAGAAATAGGAAATTGTGGGAAAAATTTATATTTTGCCCATTCAAATCATTTAAGTTGTCTAATTAAGTTTATTAATTTAATGTTTTATTCTCCACTTTAATTCATTAGTGCCATGTATATATAAAATCATTTTTATTATTTGATTTTCTCTCCCTTTCGAAAATTAAGAAAATTCCATCTTTAACTATCGAATATCTCTTTGTCGATATTCTCTCGTGTATTAATATGGCAATGTTGCATGAGAATGTGACCTAGAAATGATTGGCATGCATTGCTTGTCCAACCCAACTTGGCTGATTTATTTCGCTATCTCTAACACTATAATTTAATAAATTACTCATTTTCATGTGTCATCTATGATATGGATTTTTATCCGTCTGAATTTGATTCGAAAATTAAATTTCTTCGTTTATATGTAATTTGATTTTTGGTTATACGTCATCTCATAATTAAATTTTCAAATATATATATATAATCAGATCAGACCAAATCGGGTTAGAACCCACCAAGTCCTAGTATATCAATACCAAATAATGCCATAGAATATAAGGAATAGGGATGGGCACGAGACTCGCACCCAACAGGTTTCGATCTGATCCGACACTATCGGGTCATATTTGTTTTAAAAAATTCTGGTTTAGATCAAGTCGAGTTAGTTTCTTTAGAGATTATATTTAGATCATATTAGGTTCGAGTTTAGGATAAATATAATCTACCCGATCTAAAAAAATATAATTTTACGTTATCAAAGCTTATTAAGGAATAAAACAACCTTATCAAAGCTTGTTTCGGCTACGCTTGTGCTTGCCAATCAAGATTACTCTTTTGTCTGCTCCTTTCATGCTACAAAAACTCTAGCAGTACATTTACACCACAAGCCGCCCACATTAATGGCTTTCATAGTAAAAGCATCAAAATCAAACTGCGGTCCCAAAATCCCAGTTGGAACACAACGAAATATAGGAAACCAAAGTGAAAGTGAAAGCGAAAGCGAAAGCGAAAGCGAAAGCGAAAGCTCAAAGACGCGTAATTCCCTGACAATCTCCTCAACCCGTAATAAACCAGAAGAAAAAAAACCCAACCCATTACAGACAAACAAGTTGTCTGAGTTTTTACTGGTTTGGTTCTTGTTTTTCACTTGACTTTTCCCTCGATCCAAGCTTGAAAGACAAAGGAATTAACTTGAAAGTTCAAAGCTTGAAATGTCGAAATAAAAAAGGTCCCAACTTTTTGAGCAGTCCCACGAGGTTTGCCGAGCATCACAAAATCAACCCATGAGTACATGGTTTCACTGTCACAGATCCCATCTACACATAAAGATACCCCCAAAAAGAGTCGCCAGCTAAATACAACTAAGCTTAGATTACGCTCTTTACTCCTTTCTTCCCTCCATATATATATGATCAAATCTTCATCTCTTTCCCTACATCATACTCAATAAACATGGCTCTAATCCAACACATTTTGTTCCTTTGTCTCGCATTGTTCTGCTCGACAACCTCGGTCTCCTCGCACAGCAGGCATTACTCGACTCCGAGCGTTCCACGTCTAACTGACTTGTTTAACCGTGTCGCGGTGAACCATAGCTTTTCCAACGCTTTTGGTGCACATAACATCAAGCTACTCAACAATGGCTCCATGGTGAATCTCGCACTCGATAAAACATCGGGTTCGGGATTGGCTTCGGTGGAGAAATATAGCTATGGATTCTTCAGTGCAGCAATCAAGCTGCCTGCAGGCCTCACATCTGGTGTTGTAGTAGCCTTTTATGTAAGCTACTGTTTAACGATTTGTGTATGTATGTGAACTTGAATTTGGTTAAATGGATCGTTTTTTCGCAGTTGTCTAATGCAGATATGTATCCCCACAGTCACGATGAGATCGATATTGAACTGCTCGGCAACGATAAACGAATCGATTGGATCCTCCAAACGAATGTGTATTCGAATGGTGTGAGCACCGGGAGAGAAGAGAAATTCTATTTCTGGTTTAATCCGACCCTGCAGTACCATTACTACAGCATTCTTTGGAACAGTCATCACATAGTGTAAGGATAATTGAAGTACTCTGTTCGAAGTTCGAACATACATCGCCGATAATCCAGACTTATCGTTGTTAAAATTGCAGGTTCCTTGTCGATAATATACCGGTGAGGGAGTTCCCGAACAACGGAAAATTCTCGGCGGCATATCCCTCGAAGCCGATGTCTCTTTACGTTACCATATGGGACGCGTCAGAATGGGCAACTCATGGAGGGAAATACCCTGTCAATTACAAGTATGCCCCATTTGTGACTTCAGTTACAGACATGGAAATGGCTGGCTGTACCATAAATCCTAAGCAGCCAGATTCGTCTTGTTCGAATGCCAGCCTTTCGGGCATCGACCCCGTCGGTGGGCCCGACTTCGTTAAGCTATCAAATCAACAGGTAACTGCCATGGATTGGGCAAGAAGGAAGCTCATGTTCTACTCCTACTGTAAAGATACATCCAGATACAAAGTTTTGCCTCAAGAGTGCAAGTAAAATTTACTATTACTCATATATATATATATATATATATATATATATATATACAAATTTTTCTCCTTTTCTGAAAAATTATTTTCTCATCAAGAAGCAATAATGATATGTTAGAACATTAAATATAAATTTTAAATATTTTAGAACATTAAATTTTAAAATATTTTAGAACATTAAATATATATTTATGAGATATTTAAAAAGAATTTATTCATAATAAGTGGTTAAAAAGGTAAGGGCAGCAGGAACATAGAGGCGGGGCCCAAGTCAGAAATCTATGTAAAGTATAAACCAGAAAAGGCAAGCATTAATACCCTTATCTCTACCTTGTCCGCTCATCTTGTACTCACCAAATGGAACCGCTGCATCAAACACATTGTAACAGTTCACCCAAACTGTTCCCACTTTCAAAGCTCGGCTCAATGTGTTTGCGGTGTCGATGTCCTGCATGAAGACACCGGCAGCCAGTCTGTAGCCGCTTCCGTTCGCCCTCCGAATCACCTCATCGATGTCCCTGCCATCAAATCGATCATATCAAGCTAAACTCAAAACTCTCAGTGCGATCGGTTACGGGAAGGCAAACTCGATTTCTCACTTGAATTTCAGGATAGCTTGAACTGAACCAAATATCTCATCCTTTGCAATCAACATGTCTTCTTGTCGAGAAGTGAAAGTTCTTTTTTCATCATTTATCATATTATTACAATGTTTCGATTGCAACCCTGATGATCTGGTTTGAAGTTGTAAATGGCATACCTTCGCATTGGAAAAAACAGTGGGCTGAATATAGTAGCCCTTGCTCCCTATCCTCTCCCCTCCGGCTTCGAGTGTTGCTCCGCTTTCGATACTGGATCTTATGTACCTCAAGATCTTTTCGAATCGTTCTGAATCAATCTGATTAAGTATGCCTTGGTATCATATTTGTTCCTGATAGAAAATCGCTTGATATTGATATATATATAAGAACTGGTATATGAAATGGTTGTCAATTTACCTGAGGACCTTGTTCAATTCCGGCTTTGAATGGATCACCAACTCCGCGATTCAATGCACGAGCCTTTGCCTTCTCCAAGAACTCATCGCTGTCATGTACATATGTACGAGAACCAGCACAGCAACATTGTCCCTGCAAATGGATTTTAACTGTAATCAATATAAAGAAGAGCTATACAAGAAACCGAGTTTGATGGTCAGAGACATACCTGATTAAAGAACATAGCAAAGTGGGCTAGCTCGACTGCCTGATCAACATCAGCATCCTTGCCGATGATAAAAGGCGATTTTCCTCCAAGCTCCAATGTTACGGGCTTGATATTGCTTTTTGCAGCTAACTCGAGGACAGTTTTTCCGGTTTGAGTTGAACCACTGAAAAGCAATCTGCAAATAGTCACCGTTGAACTCATAGGTAAATAGAGAAATTCTGACAGAAAATATAGAAATTCTTGGATGTAATGTACCTTATCCACTTGCATATGACGGCAAAGAGCACTGCCGGCCGTTGGACCAAAACCGGAAACCACATTTAGAACACCTGGAGGAAGTCCAACCTGCAATAACAATTTCCAGTGAAAAAAGTTGAGCATTCAAATCCAATGGATACTGAAGTTTTATGTACTTCTCATCTGAATTCACTGCATTTAAATCAAGAAAACATGAAACAAGTAAACGTGAGATCATCGGTGTTACGTGAGATAATCTGATTAAGAATAAATCATTTGCTTTATTCGTTATTTATTTATTTATTTATTTGGGGTGACTACACTGTAGTATATGTTTAAAGATGACTCTTAATCGTTTGACAATGAACGTACACACTCCTGACATATCTGATGTTCGAATTTAAAACATCAAAAAATAGTAACAATTACTTGATCACCGAGATCGCTTGATTCGAGTTTTATTCGTTTTCCATTTATATAAGATAAGTATATTTAGTTTCAATGACAATGACACGTCAACAAAATTAATAGTAATTACCTGACCATTAAATTAAATGGTTATAAAGTATATTTTTCTAAAAATTAGTTGTTTGGAATAAAATTTTCTATTCTAAAATGTTACATTTAATAAACGAATAAAATAAATTAGTTCGTTTATCGAATTTTTTATAAGTTTTTTGATATTATCTTTTTTTTTCTTTTTATTTTATATATATATTTTATTATTTTGGGTAAATATAAAATAGTATTTGTTCGAATATAACTTTTAATTACCTGACATTGAAAGCTCAAACTCCTAATATTTATGGTGTTTGCACTTTAGACCTCAATGAATAACAACAATTCTTTTATCACCGACATTGCTTGATTTGTGTTTATTTTTTACATTTTAAATATTGATTAGGTAGAGGTTAAATTGAACATAAAATGAACTTTGAAGTTCAAACTATAAAACTTAGAGAGTTTAATTAACGTAATTTTACCATTTTTCTTTGGCATGCAAATAAAAAAGTAAAAAAAGAGTATCACTTGCATAGCGTTAAATGAAAATGTCCACAAACGTTAAACAAACATATCCGTGACTTCTACAACAACTAAACACTAACATCTCAAAAAAAAATATACGAACACGATATTAAAATTTTAAATAAACACAAATAGTACACCCATACTTTAAAAAGTTGACTTTTCGTGAACTTGTGCAAATCATTCAAGAGCTATTTGGCTTTGGAATTTTCTTTTTATAAAGTATTTGCCATTGGAATACTGCAAACATTTCCCAAAATTTAAATGCTGCAACCAACAACTGCAAACATTATCGTTCTACTGAAAGTCCTCTGTTCTTTCAACTTATTCCAGGTGCTACACACTTCATTAAAGGAGTTTCAAGGACTTAAACATCTACATCTCCAACATCTTTTCTTCCAACTTCCTCATCTACTTTCATCTCCAAAATCTGTTTCTTGCAATCCAAGAAATAGATCACCAAAACAATCAATTTCATCAAATTCCCTATGCAGATCAAGCCAGTGCCTCCGAAGATGAACAGCATGCCACCAGCTCTGTCACTGGACTTCTCCAAAAGGCAAGGCAGCCTCAAGAAATTTTCCCATACAGCGAAAACAAGCATCAAGCGAAATCCGCGCTGCGTACTACCCCTTCCGAAATAGGCCGACAGTTCGAAAGCTTCGAACCCATATGTCGTCTCCAAGATCGAAATCACAAGAGCTGTGTTCCATCCTGCACTCCACTACTTGATTAGCAATGCTATGTGAAGATACTAATTTTTTATCCATATTATTATTATTATTATTTTTATCCATATTATTATTATTATTATTATCATTATTATTATTAAATATATATTAAATATATATAAAAATAATTAATTACAGGCCAATTACAAATGGACCGGCCCAGTTACAAACAAACCAGAACCGGTCCAGAACAAACCAGAAACCCTAAACATTTGGGGGTTTCAGTTAGGGTTTCCTAACCCTAATCTAGCCGGCCGCCTCATCACAGCCGTTGGATCTAAGAGCTTAGATCCAACGGTCCAGATTGCCCCAGATGGAAACCCTAGGGTCTAATACCCTAGGGACACGCGGCCGCCGCTGCTATCTCGCCGCCTCCGCCGCTGCCACGTCCCAACCGAAGGCTCCAGAAGCTCCAACGCCAGCCGTCCACGCCATGGCTACGGGGTGAGTCACCACTGGTAGTCCGGTGACTCATCGAGACCCCATCTTCGGACCGGTCCGATGGCCACACCGGTGGTGGCTATAAAAGCCACCACCCCAACCTGGAAAAAAAAACAGAGACAGAAAAAAAAAACGGAGAGACAGAGAACACAGAGAGACGGAGAGAAAAAAAAACAGAGAAAAAAAAAGATATACTAAAAAATATACCAACGATCTCAGTCAACATCAACGCAGCAAGAAAAAAAAGGAGAGAAGAGAGGAAAGAAGCTTACTCTGTCATCGGAGAACCCCAACCGTCGCCGGATACAACGAAAACCGAAGGTATTTTTGTAGATCTGCTCCGATTGAGAGCTTTTTAAGGAAAAAGAACACCGGAAACGGTTTTAGACCGTCCCGATCTATATTTTGGTGGATTTTTGTAATTTCCGGCCACCATTAACGGTGGCCGGCAGCGGTGGTCGGAGCCCGGTAGCGGTGGCTGACCGGGACAGCTTCTCTCAGTTTAGAGAGAAGCCAGAGAACTCTTCTCTCTCTGTTTGAGAGAGAAAGAAAAAAAAAAGTGAGATAGCTGGCCCGAAGGGCCAGCCGGTTTGGGCATTAAATAGCCCTTCCCAAACGACGCCGTTTTGGGGAGGGCTATTTGTGTAATTTTATAAATGTTAAACCCTTTCCGTAATCCCTATGTTTTATATGTTTTACATTTTAGTCATTAAATTGAATTTATAATATTTTTAATTCAGTCTTCGAATTTTAATTTCTTTTATTTTAGTCCTTTATATTAAAATAATATATTTAGGATAAATAATAGATTTAATCCCTTAATTTTAATAGATAATATTTTAATCCCTAGTTTATATTTTTAATTTATTTTAATCTTATATTCGAATTTTAAATAAGTTTATTTTAATCACTAAATTATTAAATAAGAAAATAGCATGTTTAATCCTCATAATTCTGATTAATTATGAATTGTTTTTTTTATTTTTAATTTTACTATAATTTAGTCCTTTATTTTAAGTATTGTTTATTGCTTTTAAATATATGGCTATAATTGTATTTTTTATTTTACTTGTTTATATATATTTAAATATTTTTATTATAGTCATAAATATATATATATAATAAATAAATATTTATTTTAAATAAATTATTTTAATATTTATTTTTCAATATCGAAGAAAAGGACAGTCTTAATACAACTGGATGTCCTATTCTGGTATTTTAAAATAAAAAAATATATATATATATAAAATATTATCAATATCAAAGAAAAGATCTGTCTTAAGGCACCTAGAAGTTCTTTTCTGATATTTTAAAATAAATAAATATTTTTTTATATATAATTTTGAAATAATAAAATTATAAATTAAATATATTTTGAATTTTTAAATAATAGAGACAATTTATAATTAAAAAGTACCAATTTTGG